TGTAAATAATTAGATAATTTAGAGACAAAGAGTCTTACTAAGCTAAGAAAGGAAATTATTGGCGCAATGGGTTAAATCCTTGTGCTGCTGAACTGCTGACCTGAAGGTTGGCTGAACTAGTGACCTAAAAGTTGGCAGTTTGAATCTGCGAGATGGGGTGAGCTGTCGTCTGTCAGTTCCAGCTATTGCCAAGCTAGCAATGAAAAAACATGCAAATGTGAGTAGATAAATAGGTACCACTTTGGCAGGAAAAGGCAAAAGAGATGCTCCAAGCAATCTTGCTGGCCATGCAACCAGGAAGTGAGAACACAGGTTCCTGGACTTGAAAATGGAGGAAAGCACTTCCCCAGAGACAGAGGTGAGCACCACCTCCAGAAATGAAAAGGAGAAGCCTCTGCCTTTGATTGTGTTTGTGTGTCTCATTGTAAATTATGGTAAAAACATTGAATGTTTGCCTATGTATGTAAATACTATAATCCACTCTGAGTCCCTTAGGGGAGAAGTGCAGAATACAAATTCAGTGTATTCATATTATTATTTTATCCAGAATGCTACCTATAAAAATCTCAAATCAAGAATTTTAAAAATGGCAAATTATGTCAGGCTAGTATTGTAATAGAAATAAAAAAGCCAGAAAAATGACAATAAAAGCAAATAGTATAAATCACAAAAAGAAGGCAGTTTGGGTCTTCCAAATATGAAACTATACTACTATGCCAGTCAGATAAGGTATTTAGTAGAAAGCCAAGTAAAGCAAGGAAAGTTGGAGTGGCTAGAAGAAGATGATAAAAAAAAAATTAGAATGGAAATAGGAATGTATTTTCCTTTTGGACAATAAAGTAAGACATAAAAAGAATTGGCATAATGAGTTGAGCAATGCCCTTTTAAAAATGGTTGCCAATTTGAAGCCGCCCTGAGTCCCCCTGGGGCAGTGGTTCCCAACCTGGGGTCCCCAGGTGTTTTTGGCCTACAACTCCCAGAAATCCCAGCCAGTTTACATCTGGGGACCCCAGGTTGAGAACTACTGCCCTAGGGCTTGAGAAGGGTGGGGTAAAAATGGCCGAAATAAAAATAAATAAATAATAAATAAATAACCTTTCGGAAATTTGGAGAAAATATAAAATAAAATTGATTCCAGGAATTTCCCCTTTCACACAAGCATTAATGATAGAAAAAAATCCAATAAATTTTTAAAAAGAATGAGAGGAAGAGTTTAAAAGAAGAGGGATAATGAAAACAGGGGATTGGGATTTAAAGATGAGAAACACAGAAACACTCAAAGATTTATTAGCAGGAAGGGATATAGCCTGGTATGAGAGTTCACCATCGAGCAAATGGTCAACCGATATAAGAAAAAAGTATAATGGGATAGAGATCATCCAGAATTTGAGCGAATGGCAACCCAAAGAGAGAATAAAGAAAATGAACCGATAAGAGGAACGATAAGTGTTCTTTATAAATTACTAGCTTGGGGACCCGGCGCTGCCCGGGTTATTAGAGAAAGTGGGTAATGGCGCTTCTGTATGCCAAGTTTGGTCTTTATTGGTCATTGGATGATGGTTGCATTGTTTTCAAGAAATGAGTGAAGGTACTTGAAGTCCCATCATCCATGGCCAACCCTCCTCCAAACAGCAACAGGATATAGAGTGGGTCATGGGGGCTCTGTGTGCCAACTTTGGTGTTTATCAGTCATTGGGTGAGGGTGGCAGTGGTTTCAGTAAGTGAGTGAAGGTACTGCAAGTCCCATCATCCAAAGTCCATCCTCCTTCAAACTGCAGCAGGATGCAGAGTGGGTCATGGGGGCTCTGTGTGCTAAGTTTGGTCTTTATCAGTCATTGGATTAGGGTCGCAGTGGTTTCAGTAAGTGAGTAAAGGAACTGCAAGTCCCATCATCCATGGTCAACCCTCCTCCAAACAGCATCGAGATGTAGAGTGGGTCATGGGGGCTCTGTGTGCCAAGTTTGGTCTTGATCGGTCATTGGCGAGGGTCTTGGTGGTCTCAGGAAGTGAGTGAAGTGACTACAAGTCCCATCATCCATTTCCACATTTTTCCAAACCGCACCAGAATGTAGAGTGGGTCATGTGGGCTCTCTGTGCGAATTGTGATCCTGATCCATCACTGTTGGCAGTTGTAATGGTCTCAGGAAGGGAGTGCAGCTATTGCAAGTCCCATTGTCCATGGTGCATCCCCCCCAAACCGCACCAGGATGTAGAGTGTCATGGAGACTCAGTGTGCCAAGTTTGGTCTTTATCGGTAATTGGATGAGGGTTGCAGTGGTCTCAGGAATTGAGCAAAGGTACTGCAAGTCCCATAATCCATGGTCCATCCCCGGCCAAACCACACCAGGACGTAAAGTGGGTCATGAGAGGTCTATGTGCCAAGTTTGGTCCTGATCAGTCATTGGATGAGGTTAACAGCGGTCTCAGAATGTGAGTGATGGTACTGCAAGTCCCAACATCCATGGTTCATCCTCCTCCAAACTGCAGTAGGATGTAGAGTGGGTGATGGGGGCTCTGTGTGCCAATTTCGGTCTGTATGATTTTCTGGCCAAGCCCCCTCTGGCCTTTTTTCTTTCCTCTCTTTGTCATCACGGAATCTTGCAATTGAGGCTGGCCAATCAGAGACCATATGCAAATATCCTTCTCTCATGTCTCAGTTTCTGTCATGAACCCTTTTCTCCACCAGGGGCTCCTGTAAAGCTGGCCAATCAGAGACCATATG